CTGTCGTCCTTACAAACTAGGACTATACTATGTCTTTTGTCTTGACTTCTTGGGAGTGGGATTGCAGGTATATTTTGGATGTCTAGGAGGTTTGAAGCCATGTGGGAAGCATTACTAAGTTTTACACTAGTTGGTTGCCTGATAGTTTGGATATTGTGAAAGTCATCAAGCAAGTGCACAATTAATAGCTTATTCTATAAATTGAAAAAAGTCCTGCTTTGTCTTGAAGGCATATTACATAAAGAAATTTTCTATGTAAACAAGCACCTGTAATGGTTTGAAGGACAGTATTGTGATTTTTCTCAACTGTTTTTTTGTACATATCTGTTGCCCTTGGTGTTAGGCTACATCCCATCGTAACGCGAATAGTTTGTCCCGACTTGGACAAGCTGTGGCAAGATAAAAAATGTCCGGCATCTTTTTGCAATGTGCTTGTCTTCTGAGATCTGTAATATATAAATTGTGAACAGTTACAATTTGCATTCAATACAGTTCAATACTGGTATAGTGAACTAACACAACAGGGAGTACGCCTTGCCTGAAGTAAGAAAGAATGTGCAGAAGTGCCACAACTCTCTGACGATTCTTTAATTGACGTTTCTCTGATATACAAGTGTGTCGTTTTTTACTGTTTTCGATGAGCTGAAGGATTTTGTCAAAAAGACCTGGAGCATGTTGGTCAGCAAACATTTTCATCAAAGAAGGATCATACAGGTTGGAGTTTGATTCATTCCTGTACGTTGTGGTGTCTGTACAAAGCCATCTGAAATTTGGCAACTAAATCTGGGAAGCCATCATCTGTGTAAAATAGGTGGGTACTGTATTAAAATAAAACATAAGCTTAATACTTTTATATTTATTTCAAATTCTAATGCCTGACAATTTTAATTGTCAAAGGGGGTTGTACAGTTTATTGATATGAATGTGATAGGATATGTACTGTACAATATGTGGACCTTTGATTTTTTCCAATATATTTTTCCATGCTTCTTCATTTAATTTTATTTCTTTCAATTCATTCACTAGAATTGGTCCAATCGGAGAGCTTTCTTCCATCCAGATATTGGTGTTATTTGGGCATATATTTTCTTTGTTGCAGCTGTCAAAAGTCTGTGAAATGTAGCATTAAATGAATTGTATGCAAAATACTTAAGAGTTAAACTGCATTATACTGTAATTACCCTTTTTCTTTTTGTTGGACCAATGTATTCAGGATGGGATTCAAAGTAATTGTCAGCAGTGCCCATACATTTCTTGCAGATCATTGTTCCAGGTTTGTAGTTTTGTAGGGTTTTCCCCTCTTCGTCAAATACTTTGTAAAATCTTTTTGGACATTTCATCAAAAATTTACTGTGCTCCACTGATATAGGACAGCAACAAAATTTCTCACAGCACATCACGCTGACGTGGTGTGCACATGCATATAATTTGTACTGCTTTCTCAATTCGTGCTACCCGTATTGACCTTCTCTGAGGCGACGGTATTTACCAGGGTTATCGTGGCTGCATTTTTCCCTTCCGACCGAGTTTTTGCGAAAATACAGGTATTGTTTTTCTGCATATTTTACCTACGAAAATTTTCAGACATTTTTCCACAAAAATGTAATTTTTTGTGGTGAGTGGGCTCTGTGTTGTAGCCTTTTTGTCGTGTACTATATCGCATATATACATTTTATGCTCATGCTGTACAGTGTAAAAAATTTGTCAAAAGTTTTTTATAAAAAAACCTATGTCGCTTGACATCAATAATTTTCGTGTTCACAATATTTAACTTTATTATATACCTTACAATTTGAGAGGGTTTAAATTCTTAACTTTTCCAGAGTTTCCTTAACTTTGCCGTTTGAACGTCGGTATTAAAAATTTTTTGGCGAAATGTTCGCACTCTTCTCGGATAAATTAAATTTTTTGACTGAAATAGTAATCCTTTCACATTTTAAATACGAGACTTCGTAATAACTTATTGTGCTACTTTCCGCTATATTTTTTTGTTTGTTTCATTTACCTTAAAAAATTAATACCTTTGTTTTGTTTTCAAATTGGCATTTAAATTTCCCCCATGTTTTTTAATCTCCCACATGCGCAGACGTTTTTCCGCGGTGTTGCTGCTCCCCTAAAGATTCAACTGTTTGGGGGATCCCGAATGTCGCGGTGTACAAAAACATTGAAAAAATCGTTGCCGCGTATGCGCAAACGATTTTTCATGGAAATAAGGCAGCTACCCTAAAGATTTAACTGTTTTTGGGCATCCCGAATGTCGCGGTGCACAAAAACATTGAAAAAATCGTTGCTGCGCATGCGCAAAATATTTTTTATCGAAATAATGCTGCTACTCTGAAGATTTAACTGTTTTTGGGCATTCCGAGGGTCGCGGTGCACAAAAACATTGAAAAAATCGTTGTTGCGCATGCGCGAAATATTTTTCATCGAAATAATGCTGCTACCCTAAAGATTTAACTGTTTTTGGGCATTGTGAGGGTCGCGATGCACAAAAACATTGAAAAAACGTTGCTGCGCATGCGCAAAATATTTTTCATCGAAATAATGCTGCTACCCTAAAGATGTAACGGTTTTGGGGCATCCCGAATGTTGCGGGGCAAAAAAACATTGAAAAAATCGTTGTCGCGCATGCGCAAACCATTTTTTATTGAAATAATGCTGCTAGCCTCAAGATTTAACAGTTTTTGGGCATCCCGAATGTCGTGGTGCACAAAAACATTGAAAAAATCGTCGCGCGCATGCGCAAACGATTTTTCATTAAAATAATGCTGCTAGCCTCAAGATTTAACAGTTTTTGGGCATCCCGAATGTCGCGGTGGACCAAAACATTGAAAAAATCGTTGCTGCGCATGCGCAAACGATTTGTACGGAAATAATGCTGCTACCCTAAAGATTTAACTGTTTTTTAGGCATTCCGAGGGCCGCGGTGCACAAAAACATTGAAAAAATCGTTGCGGTGCATGTGCAAGCGATTTTTTATCCAAATAATGCTGCTACCCTCAAGATTTAACAGTTTTTGGGCATCCCGAATGTCGCGGTGCAAAAAAAAAAATCGTCACGGCGCATGCGCAAACGATTTTTCATTGAAATAATGCTGCTACCCTAAAGATTGAACTGTTTTTGGGCATCCCGAATGTCGCGGTGCACAAAAACAATGAAAAAATCGTTGCAACGCATGCGCAAATGATTTTTCATGGAAATAATGCTGCTACACTAAAGATTTAATTGTTTTTGGGCATCCCGGATGTCGCGGTGCACAAAAACATTGAAAAAATCGTTGCCGCGCATGCGCAAACGATTTTTCATCGAAATAATGCTGCTAGCCTCAAGATTTAACAGTTATTGGGCATCCCGAATGTCGCGGTGCACAAAAACATTGAAAAATCGTGGCCGCGCATGCGCAAAGAATTTTTCATCCAAATAAAGCTGCTAGCCTCAAGATTTAACAGTTTTGGGGCATCCCGAATGTCGCGGTGCACAAAAACATTGAAAAAATCGTTGCGGCGCATGCGCAAACGATTTTTCATTAAAATAATGCTGCTATTCTAAAGATTTAACTGTTTTCGGGCATCCCGAATGTCGCGGTGCACAAAAACATTGAAAAAATCGTTGCCCCGTATGTGCAAACGATTTTTCATCGAAATAATGCTGCTACCTTCAAGATTTGACTGTTTTGAGGCATTCCGAGGGTCGCGGTGCACAAAATCATTGAAAAAATCGTTGCTGCGCATGCGCAAAATATTTTTCATCGAAATAATGCTGCTACCCTAAAGATTTAACTGTTTTTGGGCATTCCGAGGGTCACGGTGCACAAAAACATTGAAAAAACGTTGCTGCGCATGCGCAAAATATTTTTCATCGAAATAATGCTGCTACCCTAAAGATTTAACTGTTTTTGGGCATCCCGAATGTCGCGGTGCACAAACACATTGAAAAAATCGTTGCCGCGCATACGCAAACGATTTTTCATCGAAATAATGCTGCTAACACCGCGGAAAAACGTCTGCGCACGCGTCAACTCTGCCTGTAAGTGAGATTAAAAATAATTAAAAAGCGGTTCCGAACGTTTCCGAAGGCTGAAAATGGCGGCAAACAGGAGCGATTTCATTCGTGTCTTCAAATCCATATTTCGAGGGCATAAATAAACACTGCATTATAAAAACTAAGAGTAAAAACGTCCAGAGATTCATCGAAGTGGCATCCTACAAAAACACCTGTAAAAGGTGACTATTAACAAATTTTTCGTCTCAAACATTTTGTTTATCAAATAAGCAACGACAGTTTCCTAACACTTAATTGAGAAACGTTTTATTAAAAAAAAATATGTCGCCAGATACAAGACGTTTGCGTGTTCTCAATGATTGAAAATTAAGATGTATTTTACAATTTAAATATATTAGAAAGCTTAACTTTCCGCGGGTTTTCTTAAGGCTAAATATCAGAATACCCCTCCACTAGTCATGGAAATAATGTGGCTACTATTTCACTGGATACGCAGTCGAAAATTGCAAAGCAATGAATAGGTCAGCGGTAATTCGGTGTTTTATGATAGGTACTTCATCCTTCCACAAATATATAAGAACTAAAACATTTACGACATAAGTTTATGCAAATGTAGCAGAATACCCCAATTTTTTTTAGGGGACATAGATGACGTAATATAGATGTAGGTATTACTTTAAGTGGATACGCGGATACGTTGGATACGCAGTCGGTTAAAATTTTAAAGTTCATAGACCTTAAATCAAAGACGCTTGGTCGAGCATGCCGATTCCCGAGTAAAACTTAGACAATGTCAACAGATAAACAAACTCTGAATGATCATATATAAATTGGGAGTAAACGTCTTTACTTGTTACAAACGCAAATTACTCATTTATATGTTTCGTCTATTGATGTTAAAGTTTCATGCAGTTCAGCCGCACAACTGCCATATGATACTCAAATAAACTTTATTTTAATAACTTAATATTATGAAACTTATCAGACGCTCTCTGGCTGTAAACATTTATTTATTACAAATTGAACCTATACGGCTCATCACAAGACAATAACAACATTATAGTTTCTAACACCATTCTTACTTCATTCGCATGATGCGCATCGCTATATTACAGTATGGATAATTCTTAAAAATTTCCATATATATTTTTTACATCTATAAGGAATTTCTCAAACAAGTCATTGCCTTTGTTTTCGTAACGCCACAAGAACTCAGCTAAGTGCGATGAGAACATGGATTTTCTTACGCCAAAATCAGGAATCTTTCCCTTCGCCTGTTGCCAATGACCTTCGATCTTGTTGGTGTGGTCGCCATCTGCATTTACGAATTCTTTAGAATGATTAACACACTTATGAACATACCCATGCTTCTCAATATTCACATACGCCTTCCAACAATCTGAGATGATTGTGCTACCTTCGGCTATGTGGCACTGAATTAATGGCAATAAAGTTTTCTCGTCACGCTTTTCAACAGCGACCATAAAACATGTACGGGATTCTTCTTCGATTCCTCCGAATACCCATTGTCCTTCAACTTTATGTCCTCTATTGTACTTTCTCTTCCCAAACTTACTCTCGTCGATTTGAACAGTCTTTCCTGCACCCCCGATCTTGTCATCTCTCTCTAGAAGTGTAACTTCGCAAGTCTCTCGGCAAAAGCTGTCCCAATCTACTGCCGTATGCTCGCTAACGTTAACTTCGTGCCGAATGTCCTCTTGGCTTACCCCTCTGCACCACCAGTATGTTAACTTAACGATTTCTGCAAGAGTCAGGTTGCTTTTTTTGAACCAACTGTCTTTTCGAATCGATATTTCAACCCTGTGTCGTTTCCCTTTGATTTGCCTCCTGCATTACCACTTGAAACCGTCCGATCTGTCATTTGCGATTACCAATTTCATGATCTCATTGCAATGTCCGCATTTCCTGCTCGTAGCTATAAGTTTTTCATCCATAAGCCAACCAATCAGTCGATCCTTATTGCACAAAACTTTTTCTTTGAGACGGTCGTAGGTCCATTTACTGTTTTTGTTTTTCCGATAGCTCTCGTAGCTTTTTCCCTCGTCAAGGTGTTGTGTAGCAGCATCTTGTGTTGCTAATGCAGTCCATTCAGTTTGTGACTGTGAACTTGTCCTACACGTTTTCTTTTTTTTCGCACTGACTTGAATTCCCTTTACCATGCATGTGCTTTAGTTTTTCGGTTCTTGTTGTATAGCCGCGAGTTTCTCGGTCCAACTTTTTTGCTTTTCAAATGGAAAAATATAAAAATTCAAATGTGTCAGTTTACAACTGCTGTGCGTCTATTCGTTGCCGACAGCGGCCGCGATCTCAATGTTGCACCTCGCTGACTTAATAAATAAAGTCAGCGGCTTACGTCATCGTCTTCAAAAGTCTCCGTTTTCGAGTCTCTGCACGATATGTACTCGTTTTCATTGCTATTTACTGTGAACAGCGTTTTCATGTGTCTGTGGTTAATAAGCTGAGCGTATTCGACCGTACGTTATTAATCTTATCTTATTAGACTATTAGTGTTAAAACAGAACGTTTAAAACACAACATTCTACTTCCTGTGCTGAGCGCGTTGCAAATGACTTTGAAGTGAAGTTAAATGAATTGAAGACACAAGAGTAAAAGTTTGGCAATGCCTTATCTTGGGAAACAAGGCGAATTTCTTGTGAAAATTCTCATTAAAAAGCTACAACGGTTTTGACACAACCACTCAAGCTCATTGTTATGTATCTCGTAGTAACGTAGTTTATAACTTTACGTGTCCAGCTTGTGCTAAGGGGTATGTAGGAAAAACAGAAAGAAATTTCGGTAAACGTTTTTCTGAACACTCGTACCCGCTCGAAAATGCCGTCGCCAAACATGTCACTGAATGTGAACACGCAAATTGTATCCTATTATATCTTTACGATAATATTAATGATGATGACACTAACGTTTCTGGCAAACCATTTTCGTATTCTGATCACTTACAGATCGACTAATACTAAAATCCTTCAATCTCTGCAAAATAATAACTCTTAAATCTTACTATACCTAGAAACTTTACATATAAAGTTTCGTAAGCCGGAACTTAACAATGGGCTCAAAGCATCGAAGTAATTACTTGTGTTTCCGCGATAATTCTCGCTTCTACAGTTTATTACGTCATCTTCCTGTATAGAGATCCTATCAAGCTTGTAAATAATTTAGTCTGGTTTCACATGATTCTGAAATAGAGTCGAAATATCACCAACTGAACAATTGCGTCTTTTTTTACTTTAAATCTCTAAACTTATACTAAAAGAATTTTGTATCCGCGTATCCACTAAAAAATAAAGCTACCTCTAGCTTGAGAATCTGATCTCTTTAAACTATACTGTATGCCTCGTTCTTTAAAATATTAACTCACTGCGTATCCACGTATCCGCGTATCCACTAAAAAATAAAGCTACCTCTAGCTTGAGAATCTGATCTCTTTAAACAAACTGTATGCCTCGTTCTTTAAAATATTAACTGACTGCGTATCCACGTATCCGCGTATCCACTAAAAAATAAAGCTACCTCTAGCTTGAGAATCTTATCTCTTTAAACTAACTGTATGCCTTGTTCTTTAAAATATTAAACGACTGCGTATCCACGTATCCGCGTATCCACTAAAAAATAAAAGCTACCTATAGCTTGAGAATCTGATCTCTTTAAACAAACTGTATGCCTCGTTCTTTAAAATATTAAACGACTGCGTATCCACGTATCCACGTATCCACTAAAAAATAAAGCTACCTCTAGCTTGAGAATCTGATCTCTTTAAACTAACTGTATGCCTCGTTCTTTAAAATAAACGACTGCGTATCCACGTATCCGCGTATCATCTAAAAAATAAAGCCTCATCTAGCTTGAGAATCTGATCTCTTTAAACTAACTGTATGCCTCGTTCTTTAAAATATTAAACGACTGCGTATCCACGTATCCGCGTATCATCTAAAAAATAAAGCCTCATCTAGCTTGAGAATCTGATCTCATTAAACTAACTGTATGCCTCGTTCTTTAAAATATTAAACGACTGCGTATCCACGTATCCGCGTATCCACTAAAAAAAAGGCTACCTCTAGCTTGAGAATCTATCTGATCTCTTTAAACAAACTGTATGCCTCGTTCCTTAAAATATTAAACGACTGCGTATACACGTATCTGCGTATCAACAAAAAAATAAAAGCTACCTATAGCTGGAGAATCTGATCTCTTTGAACTATACTGTATGCCTCGCTCTTTAAAATATTAAACGACTGCGTATCCACGTATCCGCGTATCCACTAAAAAATAAAGCTATCTCTAGCTTGAGAATCTGATCTCTTTAAACTATACTGTATGCCTTTTTCTTTAAAATATTAAATGACTGAGTATCCACGTATCCGCGTATCCATTTAAAAGCAATACCTACATTTATATTACGTCATGTATTTCTTATGCCTTACTATCATATGCATTAGCTGACTACGTATCCACGTATCCGTGATATTTAAAATGCGTGGCTTGAAAAATTGCGGGGCATTCTGCAATCGCTCCTTTCTTAACTTTTAGGTTTAAACTTTTGTTTTCGAAAAATATTCTAAAGCCACCCCGTAAAAAAAGGAAAATTTACCGTGAATTCCAGTTCGTTCGATACTCTAAATGCTAGAAGTCTTTTAATTTATGTTTTTTCTGGCCGTCTTTTATATTTTTGCCTTTTCTTAACTTATATTTTATCAAATAATGGGCATGTTTTGTTTCAAAAGTTGATATTTAGATTTACCATCATATTTTGATATTTCAGCGCGTGCGCAGACATTTTTCCGCGGTGTTAATGCTGCTAGCATCAAGATTTAACAGTTTTTGGGCATCCCGATGTCGCGGTGCACAAAAACATTGAAAAAATCATTCCGACGCATGCGCAAACGATTTTTCTTTGAAATAATGCTGCTACACTAAAGATTTAACTGTTTTGGGGCATCCCGAATGTCGCAGTGCACAAAAACATTGAAAAAATCGTTGCCGCGCCTGCACAAACGATTTTTCATGAAATAATGCTGCTACCCTAAAGATTTACCTGTTTTTAGGCATCCCGAATGTCGCGGTGCACAAAAACATTGAAAAAATCGTTGCGGCGCATGCGCAAACAATTTTTCATCGAAATAACGCTTCTACCCTAAAGATTTAACTGTTTTTGGGCATTCCGAATGTCGCGGTGCACAAAAACATTGAAAAAATCGTTGCTGCGCATGCGCAAAATATTTTTCATCGAAATAATGCTGCTACCCTAAAGATTTAACTGTTTTGGGGTATTCCGAGGGTCGCGGTGCACAAAAACATTGAAAAAACGTTGCTGCGATTGCGAACAATATTTTTCACCTAAATAATGCTACTACCCTAAAGATTTAACTGTTTTTGGGATTCCCGAATGTCGCGGTGCACAAAAACATTGAAACAATCGTTGCAGCGCATGCGCAAAATATTTTTCATCGAAATAATGCTGCTACCCTAAAGACTTAACTGTTTTTGGCCATTATGAATGTCGCGGTCCACAAAAACATTGAAAAATTCTTTGCCGCGCATGCGCAAACGATTTTTCATTGAAATAATGCTGCTACCCTAAAGATTTAACTATTTTTGGGCATCCCGAATGTCGCGGTGCACAAAAACATTGAAAAAATCGTTGCCCCGCATGCGCAAACGATTTTTAATCGAAATAATGCTGCTACCCTCGAGATTTAACTGTTTTTTAGGCATCCCGAATGTCGTGGTGCACAAAAACATTGAAAAAATCGTTGCCCCGCATGCGCAAATGATTTTTAATCGAAATAATGCTGCTACCCTCGAGATCTAACTGTTTTTTAGGCATCCCGAATGTCGTGGTGCACAAAAACATTGAAAAAATCGTTGCCCCGCATGCGCAAACGATTTTTTATCGAAATAATGCCTCTACCCTAAAGATTTAACTTTTTTTGGGCATCCCGAATGTCGCGGTTCACAAAAACATTGAAAAAATCGTTGCAGCGCATGCGCAAAATATTTTTCATCGAAATAATGCTGCTACCCTAAAGACTTAACTGTTTTCGGACATTATGAATGTCGCGGTCCACAAAAACATTGAAAAATTCTTTTCCGCGCATGCGCAAACGATTTCTCATCGAAATAATGCTGTTACTCTTAAGATTTAACTGTTTTGGGGCATCCCGAATGTCGCGGTGCACAAAAACATTGAAAAAATCGTTGCCGCGCATGAGCAAACGATTTTTCATCAAAATAATGCTGCAACCCTAAAGTTTTCTTTGTTTCTGGGTATTCCAAACGTCGCGGCGCACAAAAAACATTGAAGAAATTGTTGCCGCGCATGCGCAAACGTTTCATAAAAAAATACTTTTACCCTAAAGATTTAACTGTTTTTGGGCAATCCGAGGGTCGCGCTGCACAAAAAAATTGAAAAAATCGTTGCCGCGCATGCGCAAAATTTTTTTCATCGAAATAATGCTGCTACCGTAAAGATTTAACTGTTTTGGGGCATCCCGAAAGTCGCGTCAACCCCTGGATTTAAAGCTAAATTCTTTAATATTGATTTCCTAGACTTGAAATTCAGTAAGAATGTTAAAAAGGGATTGACAAATGATACAACAGAATATTACACCAGCATTTCATTTCATTTAGTTCAAAAAATTTGAAGACTCTTGTCTAAAATAGCCATTATTGCCCAATATGAGGATAAAGATTTTAAAAGCTAAATTCTTTAATATTGATTTCCTAGACTTGAAATTCAGTAAGAATGTTCAGAAGGTGTTGACAAAGTATACAAGAGAATATTATACCAACAATTCATTTCATTTTGTTGAAAAAATTTCAAAACAATTGTCCAAAATAACAATTTTTCCCGTATATGAGATGTCAGACATTGAAAGCTAAATTCTTTAATATTGATTTGCTAGACTTGAAATTCAGTATGAATGTTCAAAAGAGATTGACAAAGGGTATAACAGAATATTACACCAGCAGTTCATTTCATTCAGTTCAAAAAATTTGAAGACTATTGTCTAAAATAGCCATTATTGCCCAATATAAGGTGAAAGATTTTAAAAGCTAAATTCTTTAATATTGATTTCCTAGACTTGAAATTCGGTAAGAATGTTCAGAAGATTTTGACAAAGTATACAAGAGAATACTAGACCAGCAATTCATTTCATTTTTTTCAAAAAATTTCAAAACAATTGTCCAAAATAGCAATTTTTCCCTTATATGAGGTGTCAGATTTTGAAAGTTAAATTCTTTAATATTGATTTCCTAGACTTGAAATTTAGTAAGAATGTTCAGAAGATATTGACAAAGGATACAACAGAATATTAGGCTAGCAATTCATTTAATTTAGTTCAAAAAATTCCAAAACAATTGTCAAAAATAGCAATATTTCCCTTATTTGAGATGTCAGATTTTGAAACCTAAATTCTTTAATATTGATTTGCTAAACTTTAAATTCAGTATGAATGTTCAAAAGGGATTGACAAAGGATATAACAAAATATTACACCTGCAGTTCATTTCATTCAGTTCAAAAAATTTGAAGACTATTGTCTAAAATAGCCATTATTGCCCAATATGAGGATAAAGACTTTTAAAAGCTAAATTCTTTAATATTGATTTCCTAGATTGAAATTCAGTAAGAATGTTCAGAAGGTATTGACAAAGGATACAATAGAATATTAGACTAGCAATTCATTTAATTTAGTTCAAAAAATTCCAAAACAATTGTCAAAAATAGCAATTTTTCCCTTATATGAGATGTCAGACATTGAAAGCTAAATTCTTAAATATTGATTTGCTACACTTTAAATTCAGTATGAATGTTCAAAAGGGATTGACAAAGGATATAACAGAATATTACACCAGCAGTTCATTTCATGCAGTTCAAAAAATTTGAAGACTATTGTCTAAAAGAGCCATTATTAATGCCCAATATGAGTTGAAATATTTTAAAAGCTAAATTCTTTAATATTTATTTGCTAGACTTGACATTCAGTATGAATGTTTAAAAGGGATTGACAAAGGGTACAACAGATTATTACACCAGCAGTTCATTTCATTCAGTTCAAAAAATTTGAAAACATTTGTACAAAATAGCAATTTTTCCCTTATATATGAGGTGTTAGATTTTGAAAGCTAAATTCTATAACTCATTGCTGTCCTGTCGTAAACGACGCATGCAAAAAATTTCGATTTTATCTGCAAGTATTTTACCAAATACACTAGAATTTGTATTATCTTAAAGCCAAAACATTTATCTATTTGTATAAGTTTAGTTCATTTCAAGAGCTTTCCTATAAGCCAAGATATTTATTGCCGATCTTGTACTTTTTAAATTGAATTTTAGAGAAGCGTAAATACGCAAAGCCTTCCAGAAATCTCGCCTAAAAATACTTGTAGCTTACATTGTGATCAATATTTCCACCTATTTTGCTTGAAATACAGTCGTTTTGGCGATTTGTAGTGATATTGCAAACAAACGTGTTTACAAACGGAAAATTCGAAAATTTGCATATAATTATCACCATATTTGCGAAAATTTGACAAAAAATCGGAAAATTGTCGCTCCAAAAAGGCCAAATATATGACTCCTAGGGACATTTTTACCCTAGGAATCACTGAGCTATATAATAATTCCTGGAGGACCGGCTCGTCATTTTTCGGTAACTTCGCCGCCATCTTTTTGTCCGCAAAAACATGGCGGACTTCCCCCTTCTGCGCAACCGCAGAAGCTCTGCTGACGCCACATGGTTCCTTTTGGCCATAATAGTTACCACTGACCGGGCTCAATTATGAGCCCGCTACAAGGGTGTTCTCCCCCCTGGATTTAGTAAACAACAGGTTCTCCCCCCTGGCCTTTATAAAAAAAATTTCCCGCGAAAACTTGTTTTGTTTTTTTGAAATATAAAGTCATGAAAACATCATTAATTGCATTTTTTTGAAATATAAAGCGTTTTTTTAAGATGAATACAAGTCGTAGACGCTGTTATTGCCAACGCAAGAACAAATATATATTAAACGTCAAAAAATTGTGGACAAAATTGAAGATTTTAATTCTGACACGAACTGACAGGTGTTTTTTTTATATTTTCATTATTTCTACATTCCATAACAAATGCTTGAAACTTTTGGCACTATTGTCGGACATTTTGGGGACAATTGGATATTTATGGACATCAATTAGACTTTTTTGAACCCTGCATGGACAGCAGAATTACTGAAAGTATGCAATTAATAATGTTTTCTTGAATGGTCTTGAATGTCTTCAGAACAATATATCTAGGTATAATCCAAAGAAACATTGCATAATACACTTTTCAGTAAGGTCATCAGCTTAATTGTACCTCAATGGGCTATAAAATTTTCAATATTATCTAATTGCACCCCTGGACCCCTGGTCTTATTAATGAATAATATTCATCCCTCCATAGACTTAATTACTCCTGATTAGCCCATTGAATTTAGCCCTCTTGAAGTTTGATACCATAAACAGAAAATTATAAAAGTGGCTGCAGATTGAAGATACACTGCTCACACAATGCATGTTTACATTTATTTTTTTTATAAATATAACAATGGTTATAAAAATAACAGCCAAAAACAAAATCAGATAACATGGTAATTAAGGATAACAATGCAGATTCATAAGAATGTGTATAATGCTTAAAACATTTCAGTTCAATGTTCCAACAAATTGCATGACAATTAATTAATAAGCCATCTCTAGCTTGCTTTATTTCATTAATTAATAAGCCATCTCTAGCTTGCTTTATTTCATAGCATCTTCATCCTGAAAAAATAAATGGAGATCTGATCAAGATTTATTCACAAGGTGCAAGAAGTTAAAAAATCAATTAATTATAAGCCATGATAATTGATTTGAATTTGACAAGGCAAACAAGATAATATATTAACTAGGTTTTAACAGTCACCATCATCAGAGGTTGAAATTTACACTGTTTGCAGCAAAAATCTTATTACTTTGTATCAGCACCCACTCCACACTTTTGTCAGTCAGATCATGTAATTATTGCTTAAATCTAATAGACTCACTGGGGGGAAGGTTTACCTATTTACATTATTGTTTGCTATCATGAAAACAAAATAGACCAAACTCAAAGATTGACATTGCCAGGAATTTAATTCCTTCCCCACACAAGACAAGAATATGATAAAGTTTGAGTATATAACATTGCACATGTACCAAAGGTCTAAAATAGTATATTTGCTGTTTGTACCATAAGTTTTGATGGATTTATATGGCTCAGAACCTTTGGTAATCAGTTTATATTCGAGTCCAAAGGAAAAAACTGAAATTGTTATAAAAACGGCTTACCTGGATGCCATAAAATAACAGCCGAATGACAAAAATCATTCCCCCGATAAGTGAATTAGGCCATTCAAAACGTCAGACATATAGAGCACAAAGCTACGTCTCCTTTCCATTTGTTGAACAGGAAAAAAGAGGATTTATATGAAATACAAAAAATATGTACAGAAAGCTGAAAATATTTTCATAAAAACCAGGAGGGAGATGGACACAGTTTTTAACCTTGTATCGCGGTATGTCAGTGGTAACTACCATGAGCAAAAGGAACCATGTGGCGTCAGCAAAGCTCAAAATCCGCCATGTTTTTGCGGACACTTTTTGGTGGCGAGCCGGTCCTCCAGGAATTATTATATAGCTCAGTGCTAGGAATCAATTTCCAGGCTTATTTCACCCCTAGGGGGTAGGCAACGTTAAGTTTTTGACACCTCAAACCTCACGCGACAACCGCATGTGCGTCCGCTGAGCAAGGGGTCTGGCTACAAACAATAACAAATCAGAAAAATCGATATTTTTCGAGTTTTTCTGCCCATCCTGACTTAAAAACTATCAGAGAAGATAACTAAAGCATTTCTAGTTTATATATAACTGTTAAAATACGAAAGGATAAAAAATAACGAAGAAAATAACGAAATTCCAAAGGCGAGTTATATTTCCCCTTGTCATCACCTTGTAATTTGATATGATTTTGACAACTGCACTGCCGTGTCAGGTTACACTGCATGAAAAGCGCCGTATTCCAAGGTATTCACATGTGAATACGGGTGTGAATAAAACACATATTGCAAGCGTATTCCGACATGGAATATTAGTGTGAATACGGCATCGTATTCTTCAGTATTCTAAGTGTGAATACGCCGTGAATATGCCGCGTATTCTGACCAATATTAGAGACATTTAGCTTCGCGTTTTCGGCGCAGAACGGCAAACCGCAATCTGCGGTTTGAGGTCTGCGGTTTGCAGTCCGAGGTAAACGCATTTTGACATTTAGCTACTCGGTTTGTCATGTAAACAACCATTTCAACATGGCGGCTTTAAAATAACAATTTGTGTTATTTATAATCTCTATGGCGTTGACAAGGTAGGTTTTTATTAAGTGTATTTTTATTATTTTCATTCAAATTTGGATGACAAAAAGCAAAACAAGCATTTTTTTGTTTTCTTTCGTATCAGAAAAGACTACACGGAAATATCAATTTCAATGTTATTTGAAAGTGATTCTGAAAGCAGCGATGAAGATGATCTTGACATAGCACTAATTGAACACATGTTTACATCCACGAAATGCAGGCTTCCACGATTGAATATTGAAGATCTCAGCGACTGGCAATGTGAAAAAATGTTCAGGTACAGGTCAGGTTTATATTAGAAGAATAAATTGAAATGAGCGATTCGTTATTTTGTTTTGCATACAATATGTATAATTTATTTCGTGTGACTATTTACTGGATACTTTTCCATGGGGAGGGATGCGATTTAACAAGAGTGTACCAGTGTACACGCTTAAAAATATCATATCTTGTAGCAAGTCTGTTCACAAGCTTGCAACAAGATTTGTTGTTGACGAGATGGGACAATTTTGTAAGAACAATCTTGTAACAAGTCTGATAGTCCCAATTGGACTTGCTACAAGTTTTTAACAGCTTGTTCCAAACTTGTTACAACAAATTGGAGCAAGCAGTGCGAACAAATCTTTTGTGAACAGACTTGTAAAAACTCTGCCACAGACTTGTTACAACACTTGCATACATACTAAATAGGGATAATCTTGTACTAGATTTCACAAGGATGACATGTTGCGCCTTTTTGCTGCGTTGAGGATTCCTGCATACTATCGAGCAGAACAAAGGACAAAAGCTTCTGGTATGGAAGCTCTGATGATTCTTCTGAGGCGTCTGGCCTATCCAAACAGATGGTGTGACTTGGTAGGCATTTTTGGAAGGAGTGAGTCTCAACTAAGTTTGATTTTTAACAAGGTATTTAATTATACTGACAGTGGCAGTTAAATTTCAAACTAATCTTTAACTAATAATTTATTCTCATTTTATAGATATTAGATGACATATACAACCGCTTTGGCCACCTCCTTGACTCATTGGACCTAGTTTGGCTTGATCCAGAGTGCTTTGCCCAAGCCATTCATTGTCAAGGTGCACCACTCACACAGTGTTGGGCATTTATTGATGGTACTGTGCGACCAATAGCACGACCTGTAGTTAACCAAGACATAATGTACAGTGGACACAAACGAGTTCACTGCATCAAGTTTCAGGTATTAAGTGACAATTACTTAATATGGCATGATATATCAGACATTTTCATAAGATTTGTTTTCTTTTTAGGCAGTCCATGCCCCAAATGGTCTAATTGTCAACTGGTTTGGACCAATAGAGGGGCGAAGGCATGATGCCTTCATGCTTAGTGTAAGTGGTCTTACAGAAAAATTGCAAAATATTGAAACACCTGATGGTGAGCTGTATGTCCTTTATGGAGATCCTGCATATGGTATTAATGACTGCATCCTGGCACCATATCGAGGTGCACAATTGACACAGAATCAAAGCGAATTCAACAAGCGAATGAGTAAAGTTCGTGTTAGCGTGGAGTGGGGATTTGGAAAGTTGTGTCAGTATTTTGCCTTTCTGGATTTCAAAAAGAACCAGAAAATTTTGCTCCAACCCTTGGGAAAATACTATTTGGTTGGAAGTGTTCTAATTAATTGCCATACCTGCCTATATGGTTCTGTAACAAGTTCATTCTTTAAAGTTCAGCCCCCTTCATTAGAAACATATTTATCAAATCAGTTATAGCTTTAATACAAAATGTTTATTGATGTGACAATATTTATAAATAACATGTTCAATAAAATGATAGCAATTATAATAAAATTAATGAAATAATTTTTACACAATGTATGCATGACAAAGTTCTGGAAAATGATCGAAATGTACATGGTTTATAAATAAACAAATTCAACTGTTGAACCCAAATTCAATATATTTTTACACTTAAAAACGTTTTTGTAACAATTCAATGAATGCCTTTTTTTCCTCCATTTCGAGTTGAAACTTTAATTTTCTCTCTTCAGCTTCAGCAAGATATTTCTCTCTTTGAAAGTCAAGTTCCAATCTTCTTAAATTCAATTCTTTATCTTTCAACTGGGCTTTCTGTTCATATTTGTTAGTAAGCATCTCAATTGCAGTAAGCTTTGATACCCTTTTACACACTTTTCTTTTTCTACCTGTTACAAAGTAAAAAATGCATTTTGAGTATTTCTTTGCAAATGTACTGCCCAAAGCTAATTTGCTTTTATCATGGTTACCTTTCCTTGAGATATATTGTTCACTCTCAAGCATTTCATCTTCACTGGCAGTATCACTACTTTCATTATCATTACATTTTCTTCCTATAATATGGAATATAAATTAGAATTTCCATATGAGGAGCATAACACCACAACAATACAATGCAATAGATATAGCCATGCAATCTACTATCAACATACTACTCATTCCACTGAGTGCAGCATCTCGCATTTCCTGGCCTTTTTTCTTTTTTAATTCTTCATTTTGTTTTTTTTCTCCTTTTCTTTAGTCTTAAGATCTTCCTGGTCTCTTCTAAACATGCAAATATCTTCCAACAACATTGTTAACTCAGTATAGTCTTCTTCTGTGCCAGACCTTAAATAGATGAGTTTTTATTGTGAACCATCAAATATGACACACGACAAAGGTGTTTCAAAAATCCTTATATATGTAAATGATATCCCACCAAACCAATTTATATAAACTGTAGAAGAGGGGAGCTTATTTGGGCTCAAATTATGAGGGAAGAAGCTTGGCAAGTGAAATGCTACTTCGTAACTGGGCCTAGGGGGTATAAATCAATACTCAGTACCCCATAGTCATGCAACCAACACACATGCAGCATTGCATGGGAAAACTGCAAAAGCTGAGGGCAAACATGTTAGGAAGGACTACTGGGCTGAACTCCCCTATTTCGATGGAAAGGCACTTAAAAGGGTATTACTTTTGCATATTCTCAGAGCATCACTCTGACATGCACTTCCCTGAGGCAATGAATATATAATCATCAATTTGATACTGTAGGTCATTCATTACACAAACGTTTAGTATTATGCTTGTTTAGATATATAAATATTCAAATATAAATTCCTACTTTTTTAGGGATATCTTGTCATCTTCTTTGTGTTTTGCAATTAGCCTATCCATTCGTTCCCTGCAGGCCCGCCCTGTTAATTCAATCTTTTTTTCATCTGTGGAGAACGCTTGGCTAAGGGCTACAGCAATTGATTCCCAATCAGCACTGTTCTTTGGGTTTCTCGCTGTAACTTCGGTTGCTAACATTATGTCATTGTTTATTAAAGGCCATCTAAAAGGTGCCATTTTTTCCTTTAAAAAAGTAAAAAAATTATGTAAATTTGGTTTCTTGGATAGCTATTAAGAAGTATTAAGGAATAACGTTGAGCATCAAAAGCCATGGTTAGTATAATATATCAGTAAGCCAGCTGACTTGCATGAAATTATTAGCGGCTAGGTTAACAGCCATGTTTGTTTTGCTTAATATAAGGCATATAAAGTACACATTTTAATGCCTTTTCAATTCGGTACAATTTCCCCAACTAACATCATTTTTCAAACAGAAAACGTGTCCGTTCTTAAGAAAGTAAATTGATCACCCAAATGTGACAAACTGAAATTTTATAACGTTTAAAACCTTGAAGTAATTCACTTACCGCTAGAGCACGACTCTGCCGTAAAAACGTCAACTTCAAACCGGAGAAAAACGGCGGGAAAAAATCACGTGATAGTCTTGCGGTTTGCGGTTTGCCGTTTTGCGCCGAAAACGCGAAGCTAAATGTCTCTATTCACACTTGGAATATCTCACTTCTCACTTAATCCGTGTTACCACAAAATAAATTCATCAGCTGACATTTTTAAACTTTATTTTGAATGCTGAAAAATTGAAATGGAATTTTATAAATAATTTGGCGCAAAAACCAAAAAGCGCGCTTTCGAGTTTAATAAACATTGAACGAGGAGATTGTGCGTTTGTGGCTGTAAGAAATCTTTTTGGCGCTTATAAGTAAGGGAAGAGAGTGAAGGATGCCAAGGGCTTGGTAAAGTCTGGAAACTCTGGTCGCAGTTAAAGAGCATGCCGGCGAGTATTTGTATGCTACGATTCCCACGAAGTCTGATGAAGAAAATGCGCGAAATAGAAATGAGATTGCACGGCGCGCCATTTCCACTGCACCTTATGTTCGCTAATACGTGTAAAATGATAACGAATATTAACCGTATTTCAAGGATTTTTTATTGTTCAAAACCGAAAACGCATATACTGTTTGTGCGTAAGGGACCTCTTCGGTGAGTGACTAAATATCCTGAAGTTGAATTCAATAGCCGGCCTATAGACTATACCCTATGACCATGTTGGGAGTAATCTCAACATTTTATTAACAAATTACCTGGTGATAAGAGGTTAATGGGTTATGCGTTCGCAGCCTGTGCGAATGTTTAGGCATTTATTATCCCTCAAGTCTGTCCATTAAGGAAAATATCAATATGAACAAACATGCATAATCTTTAGGTTGCCATGCATAGCAGTCATACACATTGCAATGGTAGGTTTATCCACAGTTAATGTGGTTTTATCAAGGTTGATCAAATGCAATACTAAGATTTCAGTCAATTATTTAAATTTTATACAGTCCTTAACAGATCATGTACATGTGATGGGTTACAACATTTCACATTTTATAAAATATTATTGGAACATCACAAATTGTTCAAAAATATGTAGCAAAAACACAGCCTATCATGAACTTCTACTAAGCTGTTATGATTTTCAATCTTTCATCAGCTGATTGTTAATTTATAAGCAATGTTGTTTTAGTATATATGAAACATTGCTCCTGGAGTATGTCAGAAATTATACTTAATAGTAAATTGTTGAGCAAAGCAAGTGATGTTTTTTCACTTGGTAAGATATTAAAAACTATAGGTGAGCAGATAATGAATCAGGAACTTCTTTCACTGGGTGAAAAATCCTCTTCATCTTTAGCAAAGTTAAGGCCAACTCTTTTGGGAATTTTCTCAATCTTGCAACCCCTGATGGCTAAAAACAATTAAAACCACCTTAAAGCAATTATTGAACAAAATACATAGCAAACTTTCTTAAGCTATAATAGATTATTATCCGAAAGGTTAATGATAATGGTAAAAGCTGATGTTGCATGCATGGCCATTTGTTTTTATTGTTGTGCATAGAATTTATGCAGTGTAATGAAATTATAATATTCCTAGGAGAATGTATATGTACAATGTACAATGTACACACCATTCATATAATTTGGAAGCTAATCAATTAGGGTAAAAATGGAAACAAATTCTTCCATGAACTTAAAGCTGTATATACACATAGCTACTCCTAGTATGCAAACATCGAGAAGCTGTAGTAAACTCATCTACACTTTAATGGTATATTCTTTAAGTATTGTGATTATAATTTATGTACGGAAAAGTAATTGCAAACAAATCAGTAAACAGTCTCAGTTATAAATTATGATGAGGGCAATGTTAAAAGGCTTCACTTAAAAACACAGTCTAGCATGAACTTCTAAGCTGTTAAGATTTCTGTCTTTGGGCAGCTGGTTGTTAAGATTCCTATCTTTTGGCAACCAGTTCAATAGCTATTCTGTGGTAAATATTAGTGTAAATATAATTCATATATGCTAAAAGGAAAAATATAGGCCATTATTTTGTTAAAAAATATGTATTATATATAACTAAAAAACACAGTCTGGCTTTGATTTCTAAGCTGTTAAGATTTCTGTCTTTGGGCAGCTGATTGTTAAGATTTCAATCTTTTGGCAATCAATCATTAGCTATTCTGTGACAATTATATAACAATATATATCTATAATATATAAATTTTGCCTAAAATATAAAAAACCCTCATGAAATGCACCAATGCACCTCATTTCAATGCATCTTGAAACGTCTATCTAAGGGTTATGTTATGTTAAAGTTATGATTACAGCAGCTTTCTGAATATTTGTGGTAGGTAAGAAAGTAATGTCCCTTTTCAGTATTGGCAAACTTTTAAATTTTGTTTGTATTGAGTATGGCTTTGAAATGGCAAACATTTGTACCTACTATAATTAGTGTGTGATGAGGTAGGATTGATGAAAACCATCATACAATTTATTTATTTACAAGCAGGTACAGTTAGCTGTGTACAAATTAGCTACAATAAACACAATAGTAATCTATTTATTAATAAAAAAAAAGTGATGAGCCCAGCCGTAAAAGCGTTGGCCTCGCACTATTGTTGTTGTGTTGTGTTGTTTCAGGACTATAGTATGACATAACTCTTGTTATTATTAAATAACTTACCTGATTTTAGCGCCGCCACAAGAATTATTTTGGGGCATCGCGAACATCTTTAACAATTCAAAGTTGAACAGCTTGAACTTCTGTTGAAACCACGCATTTATATATAAGCGCCCTGGTTGAAACCAATTGACATTTGTGCCATGTTATCGTTTTGTAAACAAAGGGAACTGGACAACTTTTGCGAGGAATCATTTAAAGACATTTATTTGTTATTGTTATACGACCTCCGAATTTCGCCATTTATTCGCAATTTCGCCGCAATTCCTTGGCGCAAAAATTGTCACTAACATGTCGAAGAGGAAATTTCCCAAAGGAAATTTCCTACGATTTCCCAACACTGAACTGTATATATTACGGATGCTTTTGACGATACAGAATCATCAACTTTCTAC